TTCTGTACATTTGGGAAAAAAATAGCAATGGCCATTGTGTACTGAAACACATCCTGCACAGAGTGTTCCGAAGCCGCAACTGGGAGGAGAGCTGGGACTGGCTGTTTCCAAGGCAAGAGCACTTTCAGCTTTGCTAAGAGCTGAGCTGTAAATACATGGTGGAGAAAGACAGGCAGAACGCAGCCTGGACACCCAGGAGCTGCCTGTGCACACACTTCCACCCCTCTGCAGCCCTTACAGAACAGGCTGTGCACCAGGCTAAGGCCCGGAGAAGACAGCGTAACCACTTTGCCTTCCTGACCTCCGGTTCTCCTACTCCTGTACATTGGCAGGACCGGCAGGGAGACCACAAGCACCAAAAAGAGGCTGGATTTTAATGGTGAGGAGTTGTTGTTGAGAAAAAGACAATGAAAATTGAAAAATGTTGATTTTGCTGATCTCAATTCTAATCATGGCACTGTATGTTTAAAAGGGAGCAAAAATGAATGTCTTACAAAAATATTACCCATTTGTTTTTCCCAGACAGCGGATGCCATACTTTAAATTAAACTTCATCTGGAGATGAATTGCATTTTCATGTCACTCACCAAGTAAGACACCAATGCCCATATCTCAATCAGCATAGTCATAAAACAGGGATTTTCTTTAGCGGACTCCAAATACCCGTTATATGTCTTCATAGTACAGCTTGCTCAAATCCTCTGTCTTGCAATAAAGTGAAGTGCTTTCACAAACTCGATTACCTTTTGCTGTGTCATGCTTTAACACTGACCAAACCAAGGATCTGTCTCATGGTCAGCTATAACTGTAATAGGGATGCTCGGTGTGTTTACTTCTTCGATTATGGGAAGATCAAGACCCAAAGCTGGTAACTATTCACCTTGGGCAAGAATGTTGTTATAAATGGAGGAGATTATTGTGCCTGCCTTGAGCCTTTTAATATGTCCCACGTTTTTTAAGAGTTACATATTATAAAAACAAGTTTATTTTGCAAAGTTGTTTGCCATTTAGGTTTATACAACTCTTTGCTGTTTAAAAAAATGTTCACATCAGGGCCTGAATATCCAACAACTCCCAGATTTGTCCATTCCCCAACCCCTGTGAAGAAATGGGTCGAGATCCAGCCCCACAGGGCCCCAGGCAGCAGGCTGATGCTGGTCAGTGCAATGTTTGTAAGCAAATGTCTAGACACCACTAATCAGCAAGACGTACTGTAGAAGAAAAAAAAGACAAGAAGCCTTTAAACCACTTTCAACAAAAAGTGCAGTGGAGCAAGTGTTCAGTTTAAGATGGAAAACCAAGTATCCAGGGCTAAAAATAGCAAACAGCTATAGTAAAAATGCACAAACGTATTAAAATAAGAAATCATTTTTTCAATCATGCCAATAACACTGTACCTGATTTTAATTATTTTAATTTCTACTGCAACTGTTACCATGTTTTTGACTGCACTGATGAATGTGACATAAACAAGCATGTGAATTAACCCAAAAGTAGCAGCCTGTCTTTTCTTTCTGACCATGGCTTTGGCTCATGTGCTCTTCTCCTCGGCTACTTTATATCAATACATGTTGACGAAGCTCTAATGGAGATAGATTTTAGATTAAGAACTGTCAGGTGCAACAACTAAAATGTCAATATTTACATTCTCTTGCATTAAGAAAAATAAACAAGAGGGGGAGCTGACATAAATATGACTCACTGTGTGGCATGTATTTGGATCAGACTCTTACTGAATCAAACCAGCATTTTTTAAACTATGTTTGACAACCCCAAATGTTGAATCAGACTAGGAGCAGCAGCAGGTTGAGCAACTTGCTTTTGCAACATGTTGCTGGGATCAAAAGGCTTTCAGCAGAGTCTGGTTCACATGATAAAGACAAAGGCAAGCACCTGACTTTGCTCTGTAAATATATGTACAGCATCCCTAGTTAAATATCCTCAAAGACACAAAGTTGGCTTCCTGAGGAGACAGGAAAGGCTATTGTGCATACTCCGTTAACCTTGACAGGACTCTGCCACGTTAGTCTGGAGAACAGACAAGGTGGTTTTTGCAATTCATGATGCTCCTGTCTGGAAAAAGACTCAGTGCTGGAAATAAAGGACCTGTCTAATGAACAAAACGCACACAAACATTATTCAACAAGTCAGAGGGTTTGAGGAACACCTTTAGGCCAGGGATTAAGAACTGGTTCATAGTAGATGATGAAAAGCTTTTATCTGGAGTTGGTTTCCTTTATCCAATTTATTACAGTTAATAGCTAATCCCACGTTTTGGGATGTGGGTAGAAGATGGAAAACATATGATCAAACTGACTGGATCAAAGCAACTTTTTGACATTAAGTTACCCAAACCTGTCAATAGATCTTATATAAACTGCCACAATGAAGATGGATTTCATGAATACACGTTCTTTCATTTTTACTTTGTGGTTTTATGCATTAATGGGTTTAATATATTTAATATATTTACTGTTTAATGTGTTATAGGTCACAGAAGTCAATATCTTGACAGCCATTCTGACGTGTGCGACCTATAACATAAATCTTTAACATTTATTCTGTCCAAATTGCACTTTTTGTGTGCAAATGCATTTTAGAAGGCATAATTTAGATCATGTTTGTTTGTTTATACACTCTTTCTCTTCATGGGCACATACTGTAAATGTTACATCTTACAATAAAGACCAGAAAAATTTCTCAGACTACAAAATCTGATGCACCTTTTCATCACAGTGTCATTGCAAAGTATTTGTTCTATATGGTGAAAATTAACGACATGAGTTCTGCATCCACAATGATCGGACAGGAGCTGTTTACAAGTGTCTGACAATGGAGCATGAGCTATTGTTGAAAACTGCAGGACTCCTAGCCTTGCTGTTTGGCACAGCAGCTTAGTCACACACACAGAACGACTGTTTAAAACGTTCTGCTTGGGTCCACAAAATAGTTATAAACCATTACATTATGAAGTTATTATTCCATTTTCTTGGGGAGTTAAAAGATTCCAATTAATTTTTATTTTTGGCAAAACCAAACAAACCTATATGATGGCCTGGGTTAACTCAAAAACTTTGAAGCACCTGTTGCAAATCACAAATCTGGATCTAAAATGGTTAATATAGGTGTTTTTCAGAAATTGCATTTCTTTGGACAAACTCATAAACAAAATCAACAAAGCAAATCTTCGCCTCCTAATAAACTTAAATGATTCATTTTCACCCTTTGGCATAGTCGAGAATAAAACAAGGACCTCTTTGTTTACACAAAGAAACACCACATCATGTGCCCTTCCAAAGCAATTAAAACAATATTGTACATAAATACAGGGCGGTAAATATTTTAGTGAGATTGATCACTCCAACTCTTTGTTAACCCCAGAGGTCACAGGAAAGAAAACAAATTCCTCACAGCAATCAACCGTAAATGAAATGAATAATGTGAACTTCAAGAAAGAGGCTCACTGCAGCGTGTCTGCATAGCACGACAAAGGCCCAGAATGGCACACTGGAGACACGCAGGAACAGAAGGGCAAACGTTAATATTACGACAAACTGACCAAAATGGGTCAAGCTCGCTCTCTGTTATCAATAATTTTATTTAAAACTGATGAAAAGATAAAATGAAGCTATTCACTTAATCTGTGTACTTTAAAACTCCACTGCTACTCTCACTATGGCTTGAGCTGAGTAAATGGTGTTAACAGATCGTGATCCTAAAGCACAGAACAGGACTTAGCTTTGTTTATGTTAAGTCCCTTAGGATGCCCCTAGAAATGAGTAGGTTTGTCTCAATGATTTCTGTCCCCTGATGAGAACTCTGAAATAAGCACATTTTGCAGTAGCATTAATATTAATATGCCTGCAGAAGGAACAGCACAAAATTCCCTTTTTCAACATTTAAAATACTGACCTGGCTTTTTCTAGTTCTTTAACCATAATGATCTGGAAACGGAGGGAAACAATTACATAAAAGCTAATCCAATAAGTGTCAGATTTTAATGAATATCCTACACTCTTAAAAACTCTTAAAAACAAATTCCTTCAGGAATTAACATTATGATTTAATGGCTGATCTGGTTCTTTCTTAAGAGAAGAAACATTAATTAATATATAGATATATTTTCTAGCATTTTTATTTTTTTGGAGAGGTTAACAACGTAAATTACTCTACTCAAATACAGTTTGAGACATTTTAAAAGCTAAAACCTCTGATTTTGTCGGTAATATTTTTTACAAGATTTCATTTTCAACAAGTTGCCTCAGGCTTCTCAAGGTTTCTTTAAAAGTACATAAAGATAAATACTTACCTACGCACAAATAGCTAATGATGATAAAATGTTTTGCTTTCAACAGTACATCTTTCAAATTACAGCTCTATTTTTGGAGCTAGTGCATTGTATATAGTGCAAACAATGATAATATAAAGTGGCACTTGTTTTGAATCTTTATCTCCAAATTCCAGACTACTGCAGTTTCGCAGTACCTGAACCTCTTTTCAGGTTCCTGGGAGGATGCAATCCATTGAAAACGTTTCCATGAAACTGCGTGATCTACAGCTGCAGACTCAACAAAATTATATCTCGGCATTAATCCATTCCAGACATGATTAGAGTCTGGGTACGCTGACTCATTTGGCTGAACAATGCATATTTGTGTTAAAAGACGAGGAAAACTAATTTAAATTCCTTTTACCACACTGACAATTGGTTACTGTCACAAATTAGAAAAACTAAACAGCGATTAAACAATAACAGAAGAGTAAGAGTGTACAGTACACCTTGCAAACCACAGAAGTTTCAGAGACAGACAAGCAAACAATCTCTTAAGAGTTTATGTAATATCTGAATGGGACGCACCAGTGCCATGACACTGTGTCTATTACATCTCCTGGTGAAAATTCAGGAAGTTGGAATAGACAGACACATGTTCCCACAGCACATGGTGTTTCTCTTCGCTAAGAAAGAGACAACAGAAAAAAGAGCCATAATTTAAACACACCTGGATCAACGACAGGTCCTCCAGCCGAAGCCTGAAGAGGTGATTCCTGAAAAAAGGACATTAAAGTTATTTTCTTTGCAAATAAGTGCCAAACCACAACACTCCAGTGTATAGCCTGAAGCCCAAATGTTCTCCCTCAGTGTTAAATTGCTGGTAACCTGTGTAGTGGTTGTGGACACCTGAAGATAATTATATTTGCCTTTCCATTTATGACCTGTCAAACCTCCTGTTGTGCAAAATCAGGAAAAGTCTGCAGAAGCATCTTGGTACTCGTCCCTATTCCTAGTAACAAAGCAGTACTAAACAAAATTTCCCTGATACCTTTGATGGTTACACTTATCATAAGATAATAATTAAATTTTCTTCCTTAGGCTCACAAATAAGCCCCAGCAGAAATAAGCTAAAAATGTGATATTGAAAATACTTTGCAATATATTAGTGTAGAGGATGTCCTCAGCAAGCCTATGATGTGTAAAGCAACAGGAAAAACGATGACTTGTTTTCTCACTTAATTATAATGTTAATAGATTATGCTTATATTCATCATCATTCTTGATAAATCAGTGGTACGCAGACATGTTTAGATTTATTTTCAATAGTCTCATTATTCTCAGATATTTTCAATAGTCTCATTACTATTATTTCAATTAAAACAGTAATATTGAAACAGGGGCTGCCACCGCTTTTCTGTGAACTCAAGCCAGGAGATGACAAAAGTATCAGACCATCTTTGTCACGTCCAGCATCTTCTACAGCATTTCCTTCTCCCGACTCGCTCAATAGTTTGTATTCATGTGCTTCAGACTAAAGGCTATAATGCATTAGCTCTCTCCCCACAGCATTTGTTTTGCTGTGTTTCCAGCAGATAATCAACCAATTTCTTGGCTCTCGGCTGTCTCCTGTGAACTTAGTTGCTCAGCGCTACAATCAGCAACTGGAACTGCCCAGATATTCAAGCAGATACAGTACTTGGCAATCCAAAAACCGGGCTGCCTGGACACCCTGCTCCCAACCCGAACAAGTCTCCAGCAACGCAGCTCAATGCGAAAGGCCAGGTGTCAACGGCTCCCACAATCAACTAGCCCCCTGAAAGGATGACTGAGAGCTCGCTGGACTTCAGTCACACTGAGTTTTCAGTTTGCCACGGCCGAAAATACACGACACAGCTGAGCCAACAATCTGGCATCTGCTACAAAGTAATAAAAGAGGGCAGAAAATAATTGGAAAGACATGACCACTCCTGCTTTTTTTCAGTCCATAAGAGAACACTTACAAGGCCAGTTTAGTTTGATTAAATGTTTGAGTAAAAATGTTCATATTGTTAAACTAAAAAGCCTTTTATTTATTATCTTTCTAATGTTCTCATGCTAAATTAGTGCTAGAATTAACAAAAATAACATATTTTCTAAATATATCTGCTCATTTATTTTAATCTGTGTCAGACTTAACTTTTGTGTTATTACAGCTGTACATCTCAGAGTTCAATATTCAGTCTAGATTCTTTTGCATTTGATAAACAGGTACTTCCCAATATCCCCATTCATGTTAATTTTAATCACCAAGCAAACCAAAATCTTTCTATATGGAAAAAAAATCATATACGATATAGACTACTTCTCTATGTTTCTAATAAGATCTTCAGATACCACAGATCAAACTTAAATTAAAGCAAGTTCTGCATTTTTGGAAGTAGTCTTCTGGCCACCAATGAAGAACCTGATCTGTCCTCACAAACTTACAAACTCAAGCCCTGTAATTGGGGGATTCAAGTAATTTAAATACTAGTTCACATTACATTTCAATACACAGTGATCCATTACCTTGCTCCAACAATGAGCTCATTCTGGCCAGGATCAAAGGTTAACTGTGAGTAATCCACTGTATCTTCTGTCCTGAACGTGTGAATCCAGGGCTGTATGTCTGGAATAAAAACAAGGAAAGGAGGCATGTCAATGGCCAAGCGGGAAGATATGTGAAAATGCTAGTCAAGCAGAACAGGTCTGAAACTGTAGTGATCACGGGCAGTGATTAAACTGTATCTGACAGCATGCACATGGATCAGGGCTTAGCTGTCAGCATCGTGTCCTTGTGGTCCACACTAGAGAGGCTGCCTGCCTACTGTAGCAATTTGTCAAAGCTGAGCCGCACTGACAGCTACCCTCACACTGTCACCTTGGCGCCACACTCATTAACCTCTGGGGATCCCATCAAAGACTTCTGGGATCAGTGAAAGGAGATGTCCAACTGTCTTCCACCTCATCTGTTACGTGATCAGCACCAAACGTGTTTTCACAATCACATCTGCTCTCCCACTGGGTAAATCACAAGATCCCGCAGTTCAGTCAGAGCTCTGCTTCAGACATGAGCAACATCTAATTATTTACAGAAAGGAAAGATATGGCAACAGTTCTATACACGTGCATAATTCAAACAGCGCTATACAAGTAAAAAACAGATCAGTAAGTAGGCGTTTAATAGTTTCTAAAAAGCACACCAATTATGATTCCTGTGCATATGATAATCTTTTTGTCTAAGAGCAAAATGATGCATGAAGTTTGTTCCAGTTCAAAAGGAACTAAGTACTTAACCTTTCAAGACAGCCAAGCAGATGGTGGAAAGCCATCTTCAGACTGTGCTTACACACCTGGATCACATGCCTGGCCCTTGGTTTGAGGCTCCACTACCTTGAGCACAGCCTCTCAGGTGCAAGCCTCTCTCCTTCGCTTTTCACTATACACACTATATGTACTACAGTATGTCACCCTGATGTCTTCTTTAAATTGTATTTAAATAGTCTTGTTGTAAACCCCAAGATCTCTTTGGAGATCAAGAAAGCTTTCTTATTACTTCACTGTAATGTTTTGGAAATCACCCCTGATTTTAAACTTTTAATGCCCATTAAATGAGCACACTCTCAGCATAACCTATTATTCCTTGTTTCATAGAGGTCAAGATACCTGGAGTCTCATAAATTCAGTTCAACAATTGAATGTACTGTACATAGCTAATAAGGTTTCAGAAGTCACACAGAAACTGGTGCTTACAGAGCCACATGAAACTTTACTACAAGGCATCACAATCATGACTGCTTCTATCCCCTGTCCTTCTGACAAACTTACTTTGGGTTTGTTTCCCAATGCAAGCAATAGGGTCGTTTTTCATTCCATGTAAAATGTTCAGAGCATACAAATGTAGGAGCAATCCCCCAAAGGACATACAGCTTCGGTTACAAATCCTCCCCTCCATAAATCTTCAACATCCCACTGGGAAGTTCTTCACTTTAGATGAGACTGCAAGTTTTAAGCAGAGAAAAAGCAATCCTAGGGCTTTGCTTTATCTACAAAATGGTTCATAAGAGCAAAGCTGATTTTCATAAAGCAGTCGTATTTTTCCACTTTTTAACATCTTACGATTTAATTGCAGTCTGACTCAGGAGGCCATCGTTTTGTTCTCACTGAATTTCTTTACTGTTGACTGTGTGACCAAACATTAAGAGAAAGGATAGAATTTAGAATTAAAGCCCTTGCCTTAAATATTATCTGAAGCAAAGACAATCTATATAGTAGAGTGACCTTCTACTTTCAGGTTCCTATTTGTTGAACAAGCAGTTCCTGTGTAATGGAAGCTTCATCCATTTACTAGAAAACTGATACAAAGTAATGGAAACAGGACTATCGCACGTGTCAGCAAGAACACTAAAATTTGTAATCAGGTTAGTTGCTAATTTAGCATACAATCATATGCTAAAAGTACTCAATAATGACATACTTGTAAGGTTTTATAACAATACTATGGAAACAATACTACTTTTACTATGGGAACAATGCTATACCGTATGCTCTACCCTGTGTTAATTGCTACTTGTCAGGCTGTTTGGCTCAGCTGCTATAACACTTGTAACAGTATGGAAGAGGTGCGTGTGTCTTTCTATCTGTCATCCGCTCCTCCACATGGCAAGATCCCAGCAGCAGCTCATCTGGCAATTTCTCAGCTGCACTGTTTGCCCTGCAGGGGTGACAGGAGCCTCCTGCCAGCAGAGACACAAATGCTCACCCGTCTCAACCCGTTAAACTTCTGCATGGGAGCCCTGACCAGTTGACATCACAGACTGGGGGTTTCCAGCACGGTCTCACAAGCAATCAACTTTCTCATTTCAGCATACTGTACATGAGAGATAAATAGCTAGCACTAACAACGATGAAAAAAAAATAATTTCCTTCCACATTTCATCTCAACAAGGGAAGCAGCACAGGTTAACAAAGACATTATTATTACTTTATATGTTAGATAGATATTTATATTTGTTATATTATAGCTCACAAGTTATAATGTTAACAGATTAGTGCTACACTGCCCACTATCTTTGGCAGTTAGGACAAATGCTTTCTTAGGTTTATAAATCATTAAACATTCCCTTCAGGGCTACACAATGTTCTTAAAAGTGTAAAAGGATATGAGAATAAAAAGGTAGACATATATAGAGATAACAGTCTCTAATATTTTGTTTCTAAGGGACTACATCAACTTTGAGCCCTTTCAGGGTTCCTCTGCTCAGCTACGGGGTGAAGGGACAAGAATAAACACTGACAGGGCAGTCAGGTTTGAAGGACTGGAGTTGTCAGGAGGTTCAGTTTGCGCTTTGACCAGCAGACCAGTGCCAGACACACATCTGCATGAACAAGCCTTTGACCTCGACAGGGCCAGCACTACTGGCAGTAGGAACGAGTGTTGTCCACCCAGCAAACCAAGTTCAAAAGTTAAACAGTATGCTTGTTGTCCTTGGGGTTTTCTGAGTGCTGCTTTTAGCAGTAAAGTATGTATTCTGTTTGAAGACATCTAACCTAAATTACAGTAAAAGAATGGCCTGAGGCTGCTGGTAAGTCTGGTTGGAAAAGCCACTGAAGACCCACAAATAAAGAGTGTTATGGGAGATTTAAATACAACGTGTAGTTTCAAGTAAGAAAGACTTTACAGACCTTAAATTAGGTGATCTAATTGTCTCTCTCAGTCACAGGAGAGAGAGAGAGAGAAACTTTAAAAGCTGCTTTACATTTATTGGTACATTTACTTAAAATATAAATTAGTGGGTGTCTGGATGACACTTCTGTATTTGAAAATGAAAAATTGTCAGTCTAGTCATAATTACTTTTTTCTGCAATGAGAAGAGAGCCGTCGTTGGAGGATTTTACTGAGGGTTGTGATTCACTGACTCCAACTAACCAATCATCAGTGATTTGTGCTGAAGGCCATTCAACAGAAATGTGATTAAAATGATTAATATGCTTCTTGAAAACAGCCAATAAAAAAAAACTGGACAGGCACTTGAACGGTGTGTTTCTCAGTGCAGTTCAGAGCCCAGTGTCGCAGTACTGACGTGATGGCCTTTGCCCTGTCTAACTAAAGGAATATGAGGACTGGCTCCTGAATCCTCCCTCTCTCATTGGCACTTGATGGTCTTCAAGTTTCCAGGCTGTCACCAACCACTCAAGTTTCAAACACACCAAAGTAATTGTCAAGCCTCCCTATCTTTTTTTCTGAGTTTTGTGTCTCAGGAAACCAAAATACTTTTCCAGCCTTTCTCACAAGTGACTCTCATGTATAAAACATGGGAGGAAGCCAAAGAATGGTGTCATTCCTTCACTAGCCAGAACAGAAGGTGCCCTTGTCATTCATGTACATAAGGCAAGATCAGTTGATAGGACTGCAAACACGGTTCTCCACATATTTTGCATTAATATAAACGTCTCTGGGACTGAAAACCCTGCTTGAGGGACTCTCTAAAAGAGGCTTAATTTTCACTTCAAAAGAAATAAATTAAGACATCTGTTTCTTAAAAGGATAATTTGTGAATTGTTAAACAATATTTAGTATATCATCCAGGAAAGGAATACATTTCTAATTCTAAAGGTTTTCTTTCTGTTTTTAGACAGATCATTAACTGTGTGCTTGAGTGATTATTTTGCTATTTAAAATTGCATGTACGTATCATCAATCTGTCATATCCAATCCCAGTCACAAATTATTACAAACATGAAGAGAATCCACTGATGTTATGAATGTCTAAACCTCTTTACATATCTGGGTTTGTATTAAACAGATCTGGTATAAACTTCCATTTAAATGTGAAAATGGGGTGATTGATAGTGTTATGAATCTTCACAAACATCCCACATATTCACCTACCTTTCATTAAGCAAAACAAAATATTTTGAAAATAAAACATAAATAAGCACAAATTACTGTATGCTGTTATTGTGTAACAGACAACTAATGATATTTAGAAAGACTGCACATCTGGTTGTTAATAGCACTTGAGAAGGTTTATTAATCATTTTTACATTTTTTGTGAAGCAGGACACTAATTTAATTCAGTATAGACTTTAATAATCCCACATTTCACTTACTGTCCCTTCTAATACTAGGTGTTTTCTCATTAGGGTGAAACGTCTCCTTAGTCTGCCCCTGGCCAGGATGAGTATGGAATTCTTTCTCAACCCCACAGCAAAATACAATGTTTCAATATTCGTTGTTTGAAAACATGCCAGAGAAGACATATCTGAACAGCAGAAAGTTTGACACATTAAGTGAAAAGATTAAACAATCACTTTGAGAAAAGATGGCCTTTTGACAACTGCATGCCATGTTCACTTTAATCTCAAAGAAGTTTTTTCAGTGTTACACAAGACTGACCTGTTTAAAATAACATTGAATTTTCATTAGTATGTCATTAACATTAAACTAAAAAAGGATTTAAACTACACAGCTTGTGTGTAAAAATCTCAAGAAAGCTAATGTTTTTACTGCATTTTTCAAAATTAAATTCATCCCAGTCACACTCATATTAAGGAGAGGAAAACCTCTAAAGTAACAACTCGCTAAATATTATATTACAGGGCAGGAAAATTTCAGAGTCAGAGCTT